AGAAATGATTTGGTCACTCAAGATTAATGAAACAAAAATTTTAGGTCTCTGGAGAAACAGGATGAAATTTTTCCCTCTTGAAAAAATCCTGATTGTTTTAATCACAGAATGGTTACAAGTGTGGAAACATATCATGATAATATTATGTGGATTTCAATTAGTTTAATTAAAAGTGCGTTATTAGGTATATACATGCATTGATTTATGTTTTGTTACTGGTTACATTTATCGTAAACTACTTTTTTGAAAATAAAATTTCTATGCTCAATTTAGTGTTAAAAATCAACTGTTTGTTAAGATATGATCTTTTAGTATCTTTAATATGGGAGTGTATGTTCTTTAACTTGTGCAAACATTAATTGAAGATTTTTTTCAACTTAAATCTATGCAGTTTCAAGTAGCATGAGAATTTTTTGCTTTTTGATAAATAGTTTATTACCGGCTCATTTACTTAACTCTATTCAGCTTTATTCATCTTGAAATGACACCCAAGAATTATTTCGTAAACTTGAATGAACCCACAATAAATATGTTCAAACTTTTTTGACACATAGCTTATTAAAGTGCCTAAAGATTGGTATTACAAGTGGTAGTCATGAAAAGAACATAAAACACTCTGTATTTTAAAATGAACTTCAATATCTGGAAAATATTACAACTTTTCAATTGTGTTTTCATTCATTAAACTTGCCTACCAGATGGCAATATTACAGAATTTGTCTATTCCTATACAATATTGGCAGTATTCTCACAATCCACTCAAAAACTAGAAATAACCTAATATCACATGGTAAGCAAGCAGGTGTATGAACCAGTCAAAAATGTATGTGACTGGAAAGTAATCTTATGACATTTTAATAATATTTAAACATCCTGTATATTGAAGTTTGGAGGCATTTTAAACTTCTGTTAGCCTCAAAATAATGAAAATACAGAGACATTAAACCTAGTTCTATTTGTAATTTAATTTAATATCAAACAAGTGTGGGACACAAATTTGAAGTAGGTAGGTTCACATGCTAATGTATGTGGTAGTTATATATGTTCAACCTATTTATACAGGCAATGTTGTAAAGACTGTTCTGTTACACATGTGAACAGGTATATTATTTAATTTTAAGACGTAGGTGTCAATGTGATGAAAATGATACCAGACCTCATTCTCTGACATTAAAGAATATAGATCAGGATTTCAAGTGTGTTAGGAGATTAACCAATTAATTTAATAGGTTTGATGGATGAGTGTAATTAACTGCAAGAATGGTGTTGACTAATCATCAAATTTCCCTGATCGTTGCATATTCATTTGTTGGTCTTCTTTTAAAGCATGGATTTCAGATTTTCAAAGCAGAGATTGCTCATTTTGAGGCTTGGCTGTTTTTTTTAAAAGGCCCCGAGTTGCTGGGATATTTGACCTTACCAGACCTTACTGTTCAAGAGTCAAGGACATATACCTTCCTTAGTCTATCATGTTATACTTGGCTCTCAAGATACATGATGTTCCTAATAATTGAATTTATATTAAGCTCATCATATAATCATAGCCTACTGTACACATTGTCAGATGTTATACTAAACATGTACATGTATAATGGAAACTACATGTATATGTTGACAGTTTTGGTGTGTTTTTATGATTCTTATATGTAATATAATGGAAGGTATTTTAGGTTGATTAACTTCTGCCTGACACGACAACAATCCTGTTCATTGTAATAGTAGTTAAATAAAAAAACACCCCCCAACCATCCATGTTGTTGCATATGATAAAGTTATTAATATTATGTTAATGTAGTAAGAAGTTGTGTAAATGTCATGTTCTACATGTTATAAAGAGATAACTAGACATTAATCTGACAACTCACTTGATATATATATATACTGCTACTAAGCATTTTCATATTTATTAAATAGATAAATTGTTACAAAAAATACATTCATGATTGATTTTGGAGACACATGTACCGGTAGATAGTCCCAATAATTTTGACAGGTGTACAATGTCAATTTAAGATCCACATGTACATCTAAAATTCAAAGACAGATGATGTGATTTTAATCAATTCATCTAAGCACAGATGATGTTTTGAAGCAGTTCATTTTGCTGTTACGAAATTGTACTTGTTTTCATTCAACATTTATGCTATCTTTAATCTTGCATGACTCTTTTGTTTTTTAATAATTGAATTTATTGTATGCAGACATCTATCTGTTCTCAAAGTGAAGTCGAAATATTGAAAATATATAATGAAGTTGTAAAACTTGATATATGACAAATTTGTAAAAACTGCGGAGTCAAACATCTGCACATGTAGCGATTACAAGCCATATCTTATCTAGATTGATGGCTGGAAAATTAAAGATAACATTTGCTTGCACATAAAGTTGATAAAATAAACAAAATGAAGATGAATTCTAAAAATTGGGACCAAAGGTTTCAGTGTTTATTTATCTGCATACACTAGAATAAGGTTTTGTGAATTCTTAGAAGCATGGACCAGTAGGATATGTTTTATACTGGGCAAATTGTACCTTTACATTTACATAGTGCAGTTATGATGGGTTAATGTTGTGTTCAAAAGCCTCTGCACATTGTATGTGTGGATAATAATTAAGAAATAATGATTCTGTCATTCTTCTTAAATATTTCAAATCATTCTCTCTGGTAGATCCAGAAATAATTCTACAATACATAAACTGTATATATTTTAATCCATACCTCCCTGCTTTTATTCGTAAAGTGGATATATTCTGTGAACACTGCCTGTTATTGGACAGATCAACAGATTTGAAATCTGTCTGAAAGTCTTGTACATCCAGAAAATAATATATCAAACACTAAACTAGGAAAGTGACATTAAAGTTGAACCAGTTAAAAGAAACATCTTTGTAAAATTGAGATAGATAGGTTTCTATGATAGCAGTCGGTACAACCACCTTCTAGTTCTGGTTGTCTGTACCCTGTAGATTTCCTTTCATTAGAATTGTTATCATGATTTGTACTTTAATTTGAGTTAGGTGAAATAAATTGCATATTAGACTGTATCATATTAACCAATAGTTTGAAGGCAATTGAACTGTTGTCACACACTACTTCACTTTCCACCGTGTAAATCAACATGTCATTTGGCACTCCTACTTCAGCCTCGAACACATAATGATAGAAATTACAGAAGGTTAGTAGAAAAAGCCTATTTGTCACTGATGCTATCAAATAATGTCTTCCACTTACATGACTTGCGTGAATTATAATCTCTTCACGTTTTATTCTCTGTCTGGAAAGTAGAAAACATTGGACTGGAGAATTAATATTCGTTATTACGTGACCTAACCAATTTCAAATGATTTTAGCTTCAGTGAGGCTGAAGATATTTTTATTGCTTCTAGGTGGAGATGAAACAACCTTGGCTTCTCTAATGCATGTACAGCCATATCCTACAACAATGTTAATGTGCTTCTGTTGACAATACTTTTTATGTCACAAATTTATTTCTAGAATTAAACATGGTCCTCGTATTCTATCTGCCTGCTACTAAGGGAGAGAAATGGGTGTATTAATCTGTACTCTATTGTAATCGTCATGCTTCATGCAGATTTGGTTTGAAAGAGGACACCGAACCTATTGAGAATCTTGTTTAATGTGTCATCCTATAAGTTGAGGAATATAAAGCTCACCGTTATCAAAGACCTTCGTGTGTTGATTTTACTTGATGAGTTTTTTCCTCATCTATGATGGTAGTTATGTATCTCTATGTAAAAGATACATAATAAACTGTATTGGTCAATAAACAGCATCCCATATTTTGTTCTGTCATCTTCCACTCCATCAATATTGTGATTTCTTCCACTATTGTCCCACATTTAGACAAGGCTTTATTTTCATGCTTTGATATGTTAGTGAGTAGGATAGTAGTATATTGAAGTAATGGTATATTGTTTTCTTTCAAAATACTTGTGGTTATAGATTGTTCCTTCAATATTTACATGACCCAACATATTCTATGGAATCAATGCTTTGTAATAAAATGGTTTATACTGGAAAGATTTTGTCTAATTTGTGTTTATTCTGTAAATTTGAGCAAAAAGATCATGGAAAACCTTACTATTAATGGGAATCTTTAAATGGAGGATGTGTGGGGATTTAATGATAATAAAGTTATTTCTGGAAATAAAGTTATCTATGATGGACCATCAGATGTATATAGACCTATGTTGCTATCATAATTAAGTTGGATAAGAGAAAACTGTTGCTTGTATGAGATAAGCTAATGTGGTGAATATATTTTACATGCATTAAACTTGCATATTATATTATTTAGAGGAGATACTGCTATTTTGACAGACTCTCCACAGATTAAAAATTCATGGTAGCCAATTATTACTGAATTTGAAGTTAAACAACAGCCCAGGACACCATATGCACATCTCAGTCTATGTTTAAATTTCACCCACTATTGAGAGATGTGATTAATTTGTGTAAATTGCATATAATTCTGACATTTGTCATATCACCAAGTTGAATGATTAGAGACACTGGGAAAATGTATCAATATTCTAAAATGCATATTATAGGTTACAGCCGCAAAATGCCAGAATAAAAGTTAAATATAAGCTGCAATATGAAAATACCTTTCTACCCCTACCTCTATTCTAAGGCCATTTTAGAGTTCTTACTTTCTAATTTTTACAGTAATTCTTCTTCGTTTGCCAAGAGGAATCATTTCTTGCAACATATGACACAAATACATGTATATAATAATCCAACACTATTTTCAATTAAAATTTTGCGACTCAAATCAAAAATATTACCTGACAACCACAAGCTGCACAAGCTTAAAACACAGGTTGGGGGTAGAGAGATATTTTTCATTAAATGCAGCTTAATAAGGAACTAAGGGAAATTAATAAGACTTGTCCCATGTACAAGTACCCGGTACTATCATAGAATGCATTCTACATGTATCTATGTGAATTCAATTTCTTTTTTTTTTAAATTTCAGATTATGCCAGATTATTATCATTTTCAACATAGAAAAGTTGCAAAGAGGTCGATACGACCAAGTAATTATCACCATCGTAACTTAGCTACAGACCCCAATGTAAGTATTAATTATATATCTTTACAAGAATCATTTCTTTTTACATGTCCACTTATTTCCATACTTCCCCAACTCTCTTTCTGAACAGACTGGATCCGACCCTAACAATGAATGATGTAATAACTACTCAATACAATACAAGCCAGGTCATTTCTTGACTAACGTATGATTCTATTTAATTTCAATAAGTCGCGTGCACAGAGGGGTCTTTTGCAGTGGGAGGAAGCAGGGGAAAACCCACCAGGTTGGACAGGCAACCCTACTCCTTCTACTAGCACAGAATCGAAAACTATGACATGACACACGTTAAACTGATATGTAAATATTACATAACTTTCTACCTGAGCAGTTTGTTCTGTTAATTACATTGAAATACCGCACAATGATATACTTGAAACAAAAAGGTAAATAAGAAGATAGAACATGCACCTGTATAGCTTTACAAAGAATGTCTCAGATACTATTTTCAAATATAATTGAAGAAAGTTTGGCAATACAAGAATGTAAAAAGTATAACGCAATGTTAAACATAAACATTATCTTGTAGGTAATGGCTGCCTGTTCTGTAATTTCGTTCACATGTTTCAACAAAAAGTCATCTAGAGATTCCTTGTTTTCTCTTCTTTAGAATACATAGAGAGAACAGGTGCTGGCCTCCTTCCGATGTGTTTATACAATAATGGCTAATAAAGATGTTACCAGGAAAAATTTGGTCTGTAGATGCTCAGTCCACAGAGCTAACATCTATCCAAAAGTTGAATAGTTTTTGTGAGTTTAAAAGAAAAGATAGAAACCAGAAAGAACTTGTCAATAGAATTTGATGGGAAAAAGAAATTTACTTTATTAATCTCGAACCAATCATAGAAAACATATGTTGAAGTGTTTAAACGATACATTTGTTATTGCAAAGAATAATGAAGCGATCAAATTTCTTGTTCGATTATCCCTCAAGAGACCAGGGAGTTGTTTGTCTATACAAATACCAGCAGACTTTTACCAAAGCAGGATTTATTTAAATTGATAAATCAAAGTGCTTAAAATATACAGTTGAAGGATCCATTTCCTTGAAATGATTCCAATATGTATGATGGTAAGCTGGCGTCTTGGGCTCTTTCCAGAAAGGGAAATGAAGAATGTCATTGCAGTCTGATTACAAGCAGAGACATGTTTTTAAATTGAGTTTGATCTGTAAGCAATGATGAGTCTAGTACGAATACCACTTGTAAGCAGAGATATATTTTGATTTATGAACTCTTCTGTCATTTACAAATAATCTTCATTTGACCTCCACTGATTTATTTGTCTGGGGAATGAACCCCTGTACCAGGACACCATAGTGGGCCATATTATTTATGGAGCATATGGTTATCACTTCAGCGGAATTTGAATCTATCAGTAATAATCATATTACCCCGGTACTAGTTTTCTACATATTAAAATAGTTCTGATCAATATCTGGCCCTATTTAAAAAGACAGGTTCTAGTTTCTGACATAGTACCATATTAACTGTTTAGAATAAGCATAGTACTTTGGTATAATATTGTAAATTATTGCTTATTCTACATAAATGAAACAACTTTTCAGAAAAGTTGTGGTCTGTATATGCATGTGATGATCCGAAATTTCTGTAACTAGTAATAGTACTACGGTGTTCATGTATATTTGGCTTTAAATTTAATTACGGGTTTTCTTTTGGTTTCTAAAATTATCTCTTTGGCTTATTGTGTCTCACCTTGCCTACGGCTTCGTCAGTTATTTATTATTATATCTAATTTTAATGTTATCATTGTCCATTATATTTGTTTTATCAGTAATCCTTGTATTTTTCTTATCGTTCGCTGTAGTGTCCTGTATTGTTTATAGTTAATCTAACCTACTTATGTCTCTTTTGTCTCACTGCGCTTGCGTGGCGCGCATTATTTAAGAACGGACAACTAGTCTGTCAGGGATTCAGATGTAGGATTTCACGGTGAGAGGTTGCGTGTTACTTCTTGTGTCTGGATTCGGGACCATTTCTTGGGCCGTGTGCTTCAAGTTACCTTGACCATAACCTGGGCTTCTGCTCATACGTTGGTCGATACTTGTACGCCCTAGTGGCCGCGAACGTGTCTCGTGGGTCAAGACATTTTCTTGGCCTCTCGTGCAACGCGCTTGACGTCGGCTGTGGATTGGTCGCATTTGTGGATTGGGGACTGTCCCTTCCCGTTTTTGCATAACTGATTTCCGCTCGTGTGTTAACTCTGAGCAAACCTTTTATAGGTTTAGACTTGTGTCAACTTTAGGCCTCTATTGGTGAAGTGTCTTACTCATCTTATTTTCCGTCCCAGTGTTTTACCAGTGGATTATTTGTATATGTTTCTATGCTTAAGGATTACCGGGATACCGATTGATTCATCATTTATATTATTTGTTTTGTTATTACTTCATGCCTTTATATTTTAATATATAAAGTGTCACCTGAGATAAACTTGTGTTGTTGTGTTATTGGAACTAGAACGAGAGAATTTGGGGATCTTTAAACGTCAAGACATTGACATAAATTCAGGGTCTCGGGTCTGGCAGTATATGTGTATAGTCACTTTTGAGCTGACACTTGCCCCCGTTTTCTCAGAAGAGTAGCTGTGGTCCGAGGGTGGACCGAAAAACCTCATCCCTTGGATTCCCGTTTAGCGCTGAGCACACCAGCCCTTTCCATTGTATTAAGGATTTGGCGGTAGAGTGGCCGAATCGGACGCCACATGCATGTACCTTATTTTCAACATAATTCAGTTTCTTTGTTCTGCTTTCTTGGGACCTTAACTTGTCATTTAATTCCATGGATGAAATGCATATAATTGATATGACATTTAGAGGGCACTCATTAAGGTTGTAATGCAACGCTACAAAAAATCTGGAGTGGAATCATATGTTATACATTTAAGTTTTTGGTGCAGTTGGTGTATATCAGAGGGTCACCTTCCCAACTTTCATGAATGTCATAACAAGTGTATTGCTTTTGATGCAGTAGCACTAATAACTGAAAGTTTGACATGATTGAAGTGTGAATCCCAGGAGTTGGTAGATGTGGTAGGTAATTAATAGTAATACACAAGAACAACATACAGTAACTATAAACCACCATGAACCAAAGAAGTAATAATGACTGGTACAGTATTTGGTATTCACTTCACAGATTTAGTAGCTGGAGATAATCATCATCTTGAATCCCAAGAGGTTGTTCAAGCTAACTTGTATTATCTTCTTATACTCCCCAGTTTCCTAAATATCTCAATTATATTCTGTTTACTTCGGTAAACATCCTGTTTCTGCTACTATCATATTCTCATCAACAAGAAAATCTATTGAGATATGTAAATATACCTTCTTTCTTTTCTATATTTATGATTACATGTTCTGTGAATTTATTAACTGGCAATGTTTAATTTGAGTGGAGAAAGGTTTGAAAGTTTCATAAATTGCAGATATTTTGACATTGGGTTCCATGAAAGATTGTTTTGATTCAGTATCTCAAAGTTGATCTAGTACAATGCCATATTGTAAGAATTAAATTTAAATGCATACAGTTTTTTATGTGGAGGAAATAAACTTTAATAACATTTATTATTAACAGAACAGGAGTAAATCTTTTTGCTTTATGTAGACTTCAAAAAAAAAAACCTCCTGGATAAATGGTTTTATTGTGAAACTTTCTTGATGTAATGAAGTTAAATTATGAATCAGTGATATTCTGTACAAGTACGCTACACTGTTCAATATGATGATGACATACAAAACAAGAGATCATTGTAATTCACGATGATTATCTAATGATGCTCTTGTTGGCTGATATGAATAAATATGGCCACTTCAATGTGTAGATGAGAATAGCTATAGCTATATCCTGACAAGAGGTGATAAATGACTACACAGCTAGGACTAGATCATGGATTACACTAATTTCTTCTCCAGCTTTTGATTGATTTAATTCCAGGAACTGAATTGGAAAGTTATCCTAGCCCCTGGCTCAACATCAAATTTATCTTACAAACAGATCCACATTTAGCAAGCAGGCTAGTATTTTAATCAAATGGAAAATATATGTACTGGAATCTACTGGTTTATAACAACTGATAATGATGTTGAACATTAAAATGAAACTCAGGGCCCACAGTCAGAGATTACAATCTTATGTAATATGAAAGATAATGTTAGATATTTCATAATATGCTTTGAATGAATTGCCTTTATCCAACACTGTTTACATTGCTAGATAATAACCATTTTCAGAACTGATCCAGGTACACTAAATGTGGAAATCTTTGAAGAAAAGTTCATTTTAGTCCATGATGTTTTTTTCCAAGATAAAAACAAACATGTTATTGAGAATATTTTAATTTGGTGGGGAGTGGGGCATGATGCCCTTCTTGAATGATCACTTTCACTAAGTTATTAAAGGATATACCAATGGTCTTATTCCTAAATAAAACACTATTAATATAAGACAATAGCTGGTCTGAAAATTTAATATGTCATATGTAAAGTTGTGTCGATAGACCTGGTTAGTGCTATGTGAATGTTAAACCCCAATAAAGTAAATTTCGAAATGAAAGAATACAACAAATACAGGTAACTAATTCCATAAACTTGTGGATATTGGATAGGTAGTGATAACCTTTAACCTCTAAAACAACTAAAGCTGTTAACCCCTTGGTAATTGATACCATTTGTGGGTTTTCAAGCTTCTGAAACAATTGGGCAGACATGGACACATTTACACCAATCTTTCATCAGATGTAGGCCGGGTTATGGTAAAATTCCAAATTCTTAACATTTGCTAAGGTTAAATGCCAATTTGAGCAATCATTACCAGTAATAGATAATTGTACATAGAAACTGTTATCTTTTTTAGCTAATCGCAAGGTATCCTTAGTAATATAAGCTAATCTATGTAGTAAGGGTTTGCTATCGAAATAAGTGTCTGAAAGACTATACTAACCATACATCATTAGGTGCTGCCGTTAATATAAATAGAAGAAAGGAAATTATAGTTTAATATAATTAGATTAAATCAACTTTCCATTATAGAAGAAGAAACTTTATTGCATAAAACAACCTTACAAGGTTATGTGCATATACAAATAAACATAATAGAAAGATACATGAAACAAACAAAGGATACATACATTGACATAGTTATACCAAGATACACAGCTTTACAAAGACATAAACGAATTGTATATAAAAGCTCCTAAACATTTTAAAATTTCTGTATTTTTATTCATCAACAGTATTTTAAATTGTTGTAAATCATTCAGTTTATAAAAATTTGGTTCATGAGCTAGAATTAATCTGAACAGTTCTTTTCTTTTTTCGTCATGTCTTTTACAATATAGACCTATCTAACTGGATGAAGTATACACTGTAAATCATTTCTAATAGAAGATTGAGGATTGTCATTATGTAAACAAGATAGATAGTTCTGTAGAAAGTTCATGAAGATAAAACTAAGATCATTGATGACATGTGAAGACCATTATTTTGTATGATGAAAAATGGAGGTTTGTTTTACAATGAAAAGAAACCAAAGTGAATGTTCTGTTTTGTAATTAATCCCCAATATATAAGGAAAATCAGTTTTAATGAGGCACCAGTGTCTGATTTTCTCATAGTTATAATTTTACAACCATCCCTTACACCTTTTTATAATGGTTCAGAACACAGGGATGGTCACCCATCTTGAGTAATTGGTAGGTGTCTGTGATAATAACATAACATTATAGGTCTTAAATTCCTATTTCCAATAATTACCAGTAAATCTGAAATATATAGAATGACAATATCTTTGATGGTACATTTAACTTCAAAAGATTTAACCTCTTGAGGATTAAATTATTTGATGGGCTGACCTCAGAAACACATGGTTAGATGTACTGATTGCCTTTAGAATATATAAATGAAAGCCATGATAGATTATCCTATTTGTTTGAACTTTGAAGAAGATTCTAAGGGTTTTTAAACATCTAATAAAACTTATTGTATCTACTTCAATAAAATAAAACTTAGAAATTCCAGACCTTAACCAAAACAATGGGATGGAAATAAATGAAGAAAACAGAAGAAAGTAGAGTTAGTCACTTTATTGGCAGGGAATATTTACCTTTAATATTGATGGGTTACACATTTGTTTGTATAGTTTAATAGGCAGTATGATTATACAACCAACCAAGACCTTATTATACTAACACAACCAGAACATATGCTTCTGTCAATCAGATTGAATTGCACCTTCAATAATTTACAACTTGTCAGTAATATTTCCAGAACTATGAATGGTTCAACTTGTTAGCTGGTAGAATGCCAATACAACCTTTCATAGTAATCTTATTTTTATTCCACTAAGTTTAGATAAATGTAGAAAATATAATGATTTATCATCTAAAAGGCAATTTTATTATCTTCATAAAATATGTTGCCAGCTTGTTGTTCTAGAAGCTTCTGTATTTTTGAAAGTGGACTGCCAAGGGGTGGGTAGCACTAGAAAATATTACATGTCCTTGTTTTTCTCTTGTTTGAAAGACAAGCTTTATTATAAGATTTGTAAGGAGAATAATTAGCAACTGTAACAACAGTCTGACATATCTATTGTGTTAATATACTGGAAACATGAAGAGGTTAATATTCACTCAACTTACTCAAATTATACGAGTGATATACAATGAATAAATGTAAATTCTTTGTCTGGATGATCAGACTTCAAATGGAAATGAATTTTTATGAAGCAGACTTAAATTTCGCGTGTAAAATGATTTTCCGTATTACACATGTAAATACAGTCTACCATCTTGGAATAATTTAGTTAATGGTGTAGACATACTGATTTAAATGATTATCTCATGAGAAATTGACTCAACAGATTTAATGTTTACTATGTGGAAATATATTGTCAATATTTTAAAAATCAAAATTTGCGTCAAATAAATTCATTTTTTCTGGATTTTTTTTCTACAGATCAGACAGATCATTAAAGATGTAAAAGATACTGTTAGAGCTCCTTTATGCCCCTAGTTTTCTAAATTACCAAAGGAAAGATCAGATAAAACTGACAATAAAAAAAATGGCCAATCTATAAGCATTGAAAGCTGGCCGGCCGGCAACATTGCAACTTTCCAGTTTGAGGCAGTAGACTCTTGGGGCCGTTCTGTGTTAGGTTAAATCTAGCTCTCTCTTATACAACCAACATTATTATTGATTGATTGTCAGAATGGTAGAGAAAGTTAATGGCATGGAAAAGAAGCCCATGCAATGTCTTGCAGAATGATGCAATGAACATATAATCTACATGTGCATTAAAGGTATTTGTGCATGATAATTCTGACTGATAAAATGAAATCACGATCAATAATATTCTAGCACAACTATAATTTGACTGTTTGCCAGTTCAGGATAACCTTATTTGTTTATCATAAATGCAGCTTTCCTGTTTTTTGCTTAAACAGCATAAATTGACTTATGACCACGACTTTTATGAATTGTTGATGTTATAGCCAGTGATAGGATCGGCTAACGCAATAACATTACTCTTGAAGTTTTATAAAGTCCAAACTTTTACTCTCTCTAGGTAATAAATTCAGAAGCTACAACAATGATTATGCCCTTTCAAATTTGTTTGCTGATCATGTTGTCAGAAAGAGTGTTATTGTTGTGTGGCCATGATTGTGGGTCTTAAGAAAGTAATGATATCCTTGTTTTATGAGTTGAGACTAAATTGACCAGAGGCAAGAGTAGATAGTCGCTAGTCTTATTAAGTGTATTAATTGTTCAATCTGGGAAACTCCTCTTGACCTTTCAATATTTTGCCAAGAGCAGTCTGTATACTCTAAAACTGTTGGCATCAGTACTTAACAAGCATGATAATCATTTGCTGTCCAGGCTAATTTTCTACTAATTGATAGGGGCGTTTTATCCAGAGAATTATTATTTTATATTAAATGAAGACAGTATTCCAGACACCATGTCTTCTAATGAATCTAATTAAGCTATAACAACCGGTTTAGTACTTTATTTCTGTGTCTGGGCAGAACATGATGCTGCGATGTGAATAAAGAGGTTATGGTGCTTTGTGTTCGAATACACGTCTGGTACCCTCACACCATTACTAATACTATAGATCTCGAGATAAATGGCTGCCGAAGCCAAAGTCTGTTATAAGTTTGTATGAGCACGGCACATGACCCGATCAATGCTACTGTATCTTTGAATGTGGTTAGCCAACTGGTTCTTCGATCTATATTGGAGTCATAATTCTTTCCTGTCGTTTGAGGTTGGCACACACATAATGATCCCAAGATGTGGATTTGGGCCAATAGACCAGTGCCTAACTTGTAACGTAATTAACTAGAATTGATCAGAAGAGAGAAAAGCAAATTATTGCCTGTATATATTGATTTGTCAGTCATATTTCTTCTTTTTTTTACAGCAAATTATCTAAGTATCATTTGGGAGTCTATACTGAAGCAACTTTATAGATGTTGTGAAACAGAACATGTAGTTTTGTTTTTAATCTTGATTCCCTTATAGCCTCTTGTCTTTCATAATACTTAATACACCGAAACACTTTTTAGTGGATGTGTCTTTCTTTATGTTATTAACATGGCAATAAAGTTGATATTATTTAGTGTTAAAGCCTTTTAACACATAAACCATTTGTGTATTGACTTGTGATGAAAGCTTCTTGCTCGGATCTATATGGTGATAATAGCAGCCAATAACAAGTTGACTTTTTAAAATTATTTAAGATCATGTTGGACATTGCTCTATGACAAATGAGAAGAAGTCTCAAAATCAAATTACATTGATGACCACAGTAAGGATTAATGAGCGGTTTTCAGATAAGATTATTTCCACAAACCAAGATTAAACATACCTATGTCCAAAATCAATACCTTTTTTTGACAGGCACAAAAACAGTTAACTTTGAAATTACATTTTATATGATATAGGAAAGAAGATGATAGTTAAAATATTGCTTTAGGTTTGCACTAGTACATAACAAGATACCACATAGTTTGATAACTATTGGAGAGTTAGGTTGCATTAAAATCATATGGTATGCCAGTCTTGGTTCCATGATTATACTTGACAAGAAATGGGTTAAATGCCCAACCTTTCTTGTAAATGCTAAAGACTCATGCTCACAATGATTTATGTTAGTCCTATAATTTCTCTTTCTCCTCTATAAAGTTGAACCTCAATCTACCAAATATAGTTTCATATGTAGTGAATGGACAAGAAGTCTAAAATACTTCCACTACAGGGGTCCGCATTAGGAGTTGACTAGCATGTCCTGGGTGGGCCAAGACAGCAATCAGGAATTTTTCAGCCAGGTTCCCACTTGGAATTCAATGAATATTAGCTAGAGATGTAGCTGTCTGGATAATATTCACCTCCCTAGCATTGTATATTATACCCTCGTCAGACCGGAGTGGCGTCCTTATTGCGCTGCTACGGCAACGGAAATTGGTCTCAGAGTGCGTCAAGATCGTCATAAGCGTGATGGAAACACCAGATATTGTGCTGTGGTCTCCGTGGTTGCCAACAATCCCTGATTCACAGCGTTTGTTTGAGCATGTTCAAAACGAACGCCAAGGTTTTGCGATCTGACCTGAAAAGCTATGAGAAGGTGATTTTTTTCAAGTTTGTAAATTTTGGCGACATTTCCTTGCGTTGTGTTCACGTTTGCTTGTGAACATGTGTATTTTCTGGTCGCCGTACGGTCGCAGCAGCACAATTAGGATGCCACTCCGTTCTGACGGGGGCTTTAGTATTTCAGTCGCAAAATGACTGCAATATACCATTTATACCCTTTAAATGCTTGAGAGTCCAGATCTAATAAAAATTACTCAAAATTCCATATTAGATAAACACAATATAACAATATGAATGTCTAGTTTGAATTATTATTTTTTTTCAGATAAAATGGTTAGAACAACAAATAGCCAAGAGAAGAGTAAAAAGAGATTTACATTTTAATGATCCCAAGTGGCCTATCATGTGGTATCTGGTGAGTAGCCTAAAAAATATAATAAAAGCTTGTCAGACTTAGTACAAATATTATATGTGCCTACATATTATATATTGTAGTCCGTATGATATATACCACAAATATTTATGTCTGAACATTGATAGTGGATACCTCCAGCAATGTACCCTTTCATTCTAACATTTTTTCTAACCATTTAAAATACATTAATGTGTATTTTTATTCGATGATGGGCTACATTCACACAACTAGAGTAATGCAAAGTACAAATATAAGTAGATCAGGGGTAATTTGTAATGTGACACAAATCTTGTTTTAATAAGGCAGCTGAGCCCTGGCTTAGACACAACCAGCCGAGTATGAAATTGGTTTAAATCTTGCCTTGAGAAATTTTTTAGAGAGAAGATCAAGAATGTTAAAAGTATTGATCTTTTTAACTTCAATTTCTTTTTAACAATTTGATTCTTCTTTGCATATTAAAAGGATGTATTTTATGCTCTACATCTTACAAACTATGTGTGTTCGACTGTTCATTGCAAAAGGCAATATAAAGTGAAAATGCATTCTGTTGATGCTAAAAATGCTAATGATACATTTATATCATTGTTCATACTTGTTTGTTTTTTTTATTTATACCACATTTTATATCTACTAAACAGGTATCAACAGATATCTGTACAAATAGGGTGGGGGACAGCAGTTCTTGTGCTATAAAATTCTGCCATGATTTTGAACAACAGACCTCTAAGCTAAATTTAAGACCAACACAATCTACAGTGCTTTAGACATTTATATCTGGTCCTAGTCCCCACGATCCATTCATTTGGATTGATAGTTGAGGTGTTAGTTTGTCAAGTTTTTTTTTTACCTTATAATATATAAGATCATTTATAATAATTAAGAGCTACATTTTGGGGCCTTTTCTTTTATCTAATAGTTCATATTCTCTATTAAATCTTCATTTAAGTATAGAGATGAGATCTATATCACACAAAAAAAACGAAGGCAACATTTCAAAATAATGTCAATGGGAAATCAAAACAACATTAATTCTGATATCCGACAAGATAATGTTAGACATTTAGTCATTAAAATTAATCAAATCCTAATCTATAAAATGTCAGAGTTTAGCTGTTGCTTTGATTTTTTATTTTTAGGAGATTAAGCTGCGGTTTATGAATTCTTTTTTAATCGGTGGTTACACTCTATTTGTTATAAATTTGGGAAACGCACATTCACAACTGTGAAAATATTTTGACAACTGAAAAGTTATGGTAGTTTACGGATAAGAGTAAAATTTATTTTGTGGTTAAACAAAGCAGACAATTAGAAGTACATGTAGATGCCATTTGAAAAATTAAAAAGTGTAAATTTAATAACATAAATACCATAGATCAATTATCAATATGATAATATCCTGGTCCGATGACATTTTGAGAATTTAATTTGTGACATTTAGTTTCCACACATTATAATATAGGGGTTTTAGATTTTAATGAAAAGTTCAAGAGGGGAAGATGATATATTAAAGACTATTAACTTGTGAACTTCCTGAAACCATTTAGAAGGTCAATGAAAATATAATGGTCTGTACTGTAGCATATAAATGTTTTTCATACTATATTTCATAAATAAGTTAAGTTACAAATAAGCTAGCTTTGTTTTGTATCAGAAATTTGAATTAATAAAAAATTTTTTTAAATTGTCTTATGTAAGTTTATAGTGTTAAACAATGTAAATGGTTTAACATATTCTCCAAATCTTCCTTTATGGAAATTAGTGGTTTGTAAATAGATTGTTTGATTTTTAATTAAAACCATATTTTTCTGATGTACATGGTAGACTAAGTTTGAATTATCATATTGATTATGGGAGGTAACAGTCAAACATACATATTACTAAAAAATATTAGTATGATTAGTCACACAGTCTTTTGGAAATATTTTGGTTTGCAAATTGATTCTTTATAAAACTGAACCCAAACTGAACTTGAAAACCCCAGACTAACTGATCAGAGTTTATCAGCTATTATCAAAATATTAGTCAAGGTAATTAACTAAACTTGATTTTCAGTAATTAGTCAACTGATGTACAAGTTACTAACCCTCTTACATTCAATATACGCAATAAAACACTCATCCTGTGTTATGCATCAGTCGCTAAATATTGAAAGAGTAATGAACATATTCTTTGGTAATCAGTGCATTTTTCTTTCCAATATAGCTTCTAATTTAGATGATAACAGTCATCCAATTAATAGTATGTCTTGATTTTAGAAGGAAAATGTTCTTTTATTATGCATGGCACATTGGAATTAAGAGAATTTGTTTAGAAATTATCAGTTGTATCTTTAAAGCTGAACTCCGATTACAAAACTACAGAAATAATTAAATTTGAAAAAAATTAATGCCCATAATATTCGCCATACGCCATACTTGTTTTCAAGTTGTAGAACAATCATGACGATTGTAAGGCATACAAAAACAGAGGCAGGCCACGCCCACATCCAGTTCACTACTTGCCTTCAAAATGGTGTCTGGTTGGTTTAAATCGGGCAAAATTGACTGAGCTATGTCTGTTTGAAGCTGCCCGAGCAAGGGGAGTAAGTTTTGAGAAAAAGCAAGTTAAAGATGTTGGTATGTTCCAAAACAAAATCACATAGCAACCATGCTGTTTATTTGCTATTTTGTCGTTTAATATTTTATTCTACATGTATAGTCTTTCAGGGGTGATGAAGACGAAAATCATTGTAAAAGTTTGATCTTAGATTTGTTATATAGAAAAAAAATGTTTATATATTTTTTCTCGCCAACTTACAAAACATCAACATCATGCGGCATATTCACATTTCCTATGATAGTGTTATAATTTAGAACATGTGAGAATAGTCAATACATTAGTAATCTATGTTTTGTATATTATAAATTTAGTGAAAATAACTTCAGTTAATCTCGTCAATTAATTAGCACCTTAGTGCCAGTGATCAGGGGATTAAGTTTGTTGATTGGGTAATCAAGTTTAGTTTTAAAGAAGTGTCACATGACTGAATTAAAATAAGGTTTTACATGTACAATAGGTCTATTGTTATTTTCAAGTATGGTAACAGTATCAAATTAAGAATCTCTGATCGAATGATAGACATTTCAATTTCATTTGTAAAAAATGATTACGTTCACTTTCGTGCATTTTGGCGGCGGTGTAATGACACAAATAATAGCAGACTCATTGTTCTCATTTTTCCGACCCATGGTGATAATAGAATTTAACACAAAAATATCCAATTATGCATGCTTGTATACTTTGCATGGCATATGAAGCGACAGTAAATGTGATTCGGCTATCAGTAAAATTCTCTTTGAAGAGAAAATTATTAGATTAATTATTCGGAATAATGATTTGTCGACAGCCTTATCATTGGTAATTATCAATCAACTATTTATTAATCCGTGGCAGTTGATTAGTATTACTCAATGACACGATCCGCTTGATGATTAATTTACAATGGCAGTATTCCGACACATGGGTTTGGTTAACACTCAATGGCAATATAGACACGATCAGAATTTTAAGTTCTTTTTCTGCTATTTCTCAGAGGGAGTCGAAAGTACCCCCAAAATATTATCTCCCAAATCAAATTACTATCGCCAGCTTAAGCCTCAAGACAGCCATGATACCTCAATGCTTTGCACCGGGTGTCTTGGCCAATCAGCAAACGAATTGTGTGGACTGCATAGCAACAAGCAGCTTTTGTTTATGTTTGTAGGGTTTTTAAAACTTGTTTGTATTCGTTCAAAATGAGTTCATCCGCAATACAACGATGCCAAGTATTATGTGAGAGCATTGACCGGTCGTCCTGCAGTGACCATAGAATAATGACTAATTTCGCTGAGATTTTAAGAAAAAAGACAGGTGCATGAATTCGGTTCTCTTACAAAACATCTAAATAAAGGTGTTTTAAAATAATTTATTGCTATTTTGATCTTTTGGGTGGATAGATAGTATATTTATAGACTCATTTTTGTGAAAATCTAAATTTCGATCAAAATTTACACTCGTTTTGTCTGTATCTCATTTTTAGACTTTGCATATTCCGACTCATTTTGCCAGCACAGGTCTTTCTCGAGACCATTTAACATCTTAATATACTGATATCCAGTACACACATGTCTTTGAAATTATCATATGAGTCCAATATTTCCATCACATTTTATAAATAATGGTTGAAAATAATGGTACATCAACGGTTGAAGTCGCATCTGTATTATTACTTTTTTCACTTCTAAGACTTATAGTGGATGCTGTGTGTTGAACATGGTGTTATATGACAGTTTGTCTAATATTACTGGATGTTATTTTAAATAATTTATTTGATAGTATCAACTAGTGGTCATTATGTTGTCTGATATCTGCCCACATCTTAACCTAATAACCTTATTCTGCTCTTCCTCTAACCCCCATTGAATATTCATGCCTTTTTATGTAGAAAGTTTCCAGAAATGATAAATGTCCCATCGTTGGTGAAATGTTTTGCTTTTATATCTGTTAATGAGTCAAACATCAAAATTATATGTCTATATTATTTCAAAATATTGTCTAATTTTTATAAATCCCCCATTGAATATTCATGCCTTTTTATGTAGAAAGTTTACAGAAATGATAAATGTCCCATTGTTTGTGAAATGTTTTGCTTTTATATCTGTTAATGAGTCAAACATCAAAATTATATAGAGGATATTTGTCGTTTTAGAGTGAATAACATATTTTATTTCATTGAGAAGCAAGAAAACTTATATTTTCACGAATGCGTAGCATGAGTGAAAATATAAACGTTTTCTTGCTTAAAGATGAAATAAAATATGTTATTCACGACAAAACGACAAATGTTCTATTTATTTTATGATTTTACAATCAATTTAAGGTAAAAACAACATGGACTACTGCTAGCCAGTGGAATAACACTTTTATTTCACTGATAAAACGTGGTATTCCACTACTGATCATAAAATAAATGTCTATATTAT